CAGCTATGGCGGTGGAGCCGCCGCGGGAGGTGGTGTGGCCGGAGGGCGCGGGGGCCGAGGCGGGCTTCGTGCGCGCCGTCCTGTCGCTGCCCGAGAAGCCCGACACCACCGTGCGGTTCTTCGAGCGCGGCGACTACTACACGGCGCACGGCGCGGACGCGCGGCTGGCCGCCCGCGAGCTCTTCCGCACCCGCGCCGTCATCCGCCAGCTGGCGGGGGCACCGGGTGGGTGCGGGGACGGGACCCGCGGGTCTGAGGGGAGGCGGGTTGGACTCGGCCTCCACCTCCCCGCCGGGGCCTCGCTGTGGATGAGCGGCGGGCCCCCGGCCTCGGGTGGCCGGAGGGGAGCGGGGGTCTCGCCGGGTTCTGACAGGAGCGGCGTGTTCTCCGGGGCGAGGCCTCCCGGGGGTCACTCGGGTCGGGACGCGGCCCCTTTTCGCCTTCGGCCGTGGTATTTCGTGGCTGCCTTGGGCTTAAGTTCGCCGTGGCGTCGTTTTTTTTCAAAGACCGGGGCCTTGTCAGGGCGAGAGAGCGTGAGGCGCTGCTGGTTTTTCCCCGCTCGAGGTCACCGTTAATCGGTGAAGCCTGCAGCACCCGGGGTGTTGCTGAGAGCGAAGGCAGCGCTGCTACCTGCGGCTCTGCTCTGGGTTGGTGAGTGGGAAGGGAGGCATTAAGAGGTCTCCCGGTTTTAATGTCCCCTCTGATTCATTGCAGCTTGGAAGCAGGCATAACTGAATGCAAATCTCTCTTCTTCAGCCTCTCGCAGCTTTGAAGTGATAATTAGTAGCCATTCTGAGTAGGACGTGTGTGACAGCTGTAGGTGTACAAACGTAGGAAGGTATCTACAGCAGAAAGCACGGTTCTCGGTGTGTGCTTCTCATCACATAAGCTCATACTACAGGGCTGTCAGATGTGGATAGTTAGTTGAACACAACATGTTGCATAGGCTAACGGCAGTTAATAACATTTTTCCAGCGCATTGGTAGATTTCCATTTGTGAAGATGATCGCGCGGTACTTTCTGTGATAACTGAGGACGGGGCTCATGCAGTTCTGTAGTGCAGATGCTAGGTAAACAATGGTAACGTCATGCTTGACTAATGATGGCCTGCAGAAGTAAATAACATTTAATAATGTATTGCATAAGATTTTCTCTTCCATCCGCCCCCTGTCACTTTTTATTTGTTATCTCTTGGTATAAGACAGTGGAGCTCGCAAATGTTGGATGTAAGAGCATCGGGATAAACTATCTTGTCAGAGGAGGCAAACCTCAGTATTATTCTTAATCTCGAGGAACATAATGTTGCAAAGTTACTGGCTCATACTTTGCAAAATAAACCTGTTTGTTATGAGTGAATTTTGTGTGTGTGTGTGTGTAATGGCATTAAAAAGAGAATGATGTTCTGATATGCGTTTCATTTTCTGTTGCAAGTGATGAGCTAATGCATCAAAAACCGAAAAAACCCCCAACGCCTTCCCCAAAACCCCAAGAAAACCTCATGAAAAAACAACTTGTGGAGAAGTTGTAGAGCTTAATGGTTTCAAGTGTAGAATTTGATATGTCTTCCAGACTAGAAACACATGCATGACTGTTATTTTTGTATTTCATTTAAAAGTGATAATTTCACGGATGTAAGCCTGTGGCTGTCAGCTCTGGTTTTAAAACCTTTAAAGCCTTATCTAGCATATCCAACTAAAAGTCAGCATAAACCTACATTTTTTTGCTTTCAGGATGATATAAAAGCACACGCGAGCTTCAGCTGCCTCCTGCTAGTGTATTACGTAGTCTTATTGTTGGACAGTTCTGCACTTGGAAAGAGAACCTAATTATGTGGAATTAGTTTTTTACCTGCTTCCAAAAAAAGTCTTACTAGAGATTTGAGGAAAGAAGAGGAAAGAAAATGGAAAAAATCCTATTTAAAATAAACCCATAAGTTTTTATGGGTGTGGAAATTCGCTGTTTAACATCTTTCATGTAAAGGGAGGAAGGGCCTCAAATGTGATGAAGGCATGCTACTGAAAAGAGGGATGTGATAATCCCTACTTATTGTTTGTGCTTACTTTATATGTCATCTAGCTCTCATGTGTCTGGCACCAGTCTGAGTTAATTCCACTTGTTGATGTGGCAGGAAACTTGATATACCCCCCCAAACCCCCAATTTGTTTCATAGTGGAATTATCTTATTCTGTGAGTAGGCTGCTGCCAGAGGTAGCATGGGAGGTGGGGAGGTAGAAGTGGTATTGCTCCTCTTGGCAGCTGTATGGAATTAAATTTGTTCAGCTATCATCTGCCTGCACCCTTATAGGGAGAGAAGCAAGAAGTCTGTCAATTAGGCACTTTCTAAGTTAGGTTTTAATGTAAACTTCTAAACTTCTTTGAGAATGTGTTGTTTTTACAGTATATATTGTGATAAATGGGAAATAGAAATGTCTTGGCATGTGTGTCTTGCTATCTTCTGAGTGCGAACAGGGTGACAGTCTGTCCTGTCAACAGAAGTGGCTTATCCTGGAAAGAAAAGATGTTACCCAGAAGGAAAGCCTGTAGCAGGCTTCCACCACTCAGATTAAAATGTGTGAAACGTTAATTAGAAAACCCAATCGAGACTATTGTAAGAAGGAAACTGTGAGAACAGAGCTCTTTGTATATATGTATGTATAGATTTAGTGAAATTTGGAAATGAACATTGTTTTTATTTGGATGGGGAGTATGCTTTCTTCATTCTTAATATTAACCAGTTGAATGTTGTGGTTTTGTGTTGTTTCATGGATTTTACGTGTTTGCTTCTTTGATACTAGAATAGTGTCCGTCCTGAAGGCTGTTCTTGGGGATTTTGGTTACAGAAAATAAACTTTATGAACAAATTCAGGTATCTCATAATTTTCTTTTTTCCTTTTTTGTAGGAACTCAGAAGCTTGAGAGTGTTGTGCTTAGTAAAATGAACTTTGAATCTTTTGTGAGAGATCTGCTTCTGGTTCGTCATTACAGAGTTGAAGTTTACAAGAACAAAGCAGGGAGTAAATCTATCAAAGAAAATGACTGGTATTTAGCATACAAGGTACAATTTTCAACCTTTATGATTGTGAGATGAAAGAAAAAAAACCTGTAAGTCTTTCTCTGAGCTCCTCAGCTTGGAGGTTTGGGATTTTCAGGGACTGACATTGGTGGTATGATGGTAAATTGTGTAGTCTGTTGTATGTGCCTGTATTGTCTACTGCTCTAAGGCTGGACGAACTTCTTCTGTATCTTTGCCATAGGTTGGGAAATAAAGGAAACCTAAAGTAGCTCACTTTGTGTAGATGATGTGTAAAATTTTAATGGTTAAAAAAAATAGAACAGCCATATGTTTCATATTAATGGATTGTTCAGTACTTAGTTTTATCAGTTGTCGTCCATTTTAAAGAAAAAAAAAGTATGTGTGTATATACACACTCTTTAAAAGTGTATTTCTTTTCTAAATAGGGTTCTCCAGGAAATCTTGCCCAGTTTGAGGAAGTTCTCTTTGCCAACAATGACATGTCAACAGCCATTGGGGTTGTGGGTGTTAAGCTGTCTACTACTGATGGACAAAGAGTGGTAGGAGTGGGGTATGTCGACGCTACGCTGAGAAAATTGAGTGTCTGTGAGTTTCCAGATAATGATCAGTTCTCAAACCTTGAAGCTCTACTGGTTCAACTAGGACCAAAGGAGTGTGTGCTACCAGGAGGAGAGACTGCAGGAGAAATGGGAAAACTACGACAAGTAAGGGAACCACTGTGGCTTACAGCTAGACAAAAATTTATCTAAAAAGCTGTAGTCTAACCTGTTAGCTAGGCTCCATGATTTAGAATCATAGAATCATTTAGGTTGGAAAAGACCTTCAAGATCGAGTCCAACCATCAACCATGCCCACTAAACCATGTCCTGAAGTACCCTGTCTACTCCCTTTTTGAATACTTCCAGGGATGGTGACTCAAACACTTCCCTGGGCAGCCTATTCCAATGTCTGACAACCGTCTCAGTAAAAAAATTTTTCCTAATATCCAGCCTAAATCTCCCTTGCCACAACTTGAGGCCATTTATGGAAAATGGAGCAGCAATATGTTAACTTGAAGTTTTGATTTACTCATCCAAAATGTATTATTTGTCTGTTGACTTATTTGCATTTTAATCGGCAGAAGTTGTTCTAAGTGTAAAATCTTGTCTGTCATTCTTCTCTCTGCAACCTAGCAGTAAATAAATCTCTCATCAGGGTTTGTTTCTGTGATGAACATCTGTCCCCTGAATATTGAAAGTAATTGATAACTCTGTGTGTTTATGGACAACAGGTCATTCAGAGGGGAGGAATCCTGATTACAGACAGGAAGAAGGCGGATTTCACAACAAAAGATATTGTTCAGGATCTCAATCGCTTGTTAAAATCAAAAAAAGAAGAACAAATGAATAGTGCAGCATTGCCAGAGATGGAAAAGCAGGTGAGCACAGAGCAAAGCTTAATGTGTTCCTGTTTTTTAGAAGGCGAGTGGTGTGTGTGCAGCTGTTGTGAGCTGATCTCCTCTGTCCTCACTGGTCCTGTTTTATGCTGGATTCCCATACTTCTGGGAAAGTATATCGTACGACCAGTGGTATATTAAGCTACATTCTTGCTGAAGTGTTTCACAGTTTTGCTCAGCTTGAGTCTGTGTCAAAGTTCGATTCCAGGGGTCCTGGAAAAAAAATGAGAAAACCCTTCACTTATCTCTAAAGTAGTAAACTCTGGTAAGCAAATAGGCTGTGCACAAGAGGTGTTTCCTATTCATAATCTATCTGGCCTAAGGACTGAAGTACAATACTTCAATTATTTTGCATGACAGGAAAATTAGTATTTGAAAACAGAGTAATGTTTATGATAATATTTTTGTATTTTGTATCATCTTATGGCTCAAGCATATGATTTAGTGCCTGCATGTGAACTGAACATGTTTGCTCTTAGCTGCAAACAAGAGGTAATTTGCTTGAGAGAAACATGTTTTAAAATGCTCTTCACTGCTGATGCTCACTGCAGGTGTAAGGTACGGAGTTATTCTCCCTTAATGTGTGATTTCATAACAGGTTAAAATTGTCTGAAGTGTGTTGCAGCTGAACAAGTCAGTCATATTGCTGCCTCTCTTTTGTGCTGGCACTAGCGTTTGTAATGTCATGCAGTGAGTCAGATCAGATCCTTGTTCTGGCTGAAAACTAACCCTGAAACCATGTCCTGAGATGATCCATGATACCTCATTTATCTGCAATAACTTGTTTGTGTTCCTGAGCCAGAAACATCCTGATAACAGCTTTGGAAAGCTGGCAAGGTGTGTACTTCGCATTTTGTTTATCAGATTATGCAAATGTCTAGTTCATTGTTCTTGCACCTACCTAGAAAGATGCTGCAGTGCCATAAAATGTCCCTATGAAAATGAAGTCTTGTCAAACAGGATGAGTCTCTCATAGGCCTGCTGGAATTGACATGGCTCAAAGTCTTTCCTGATAATAACTTTCTAGGGGCATTTAACAAATACTTCCCATTTCAGGAGTGTTTCTAACTAGAATGTGGTGTGTTCTTTTTTTTTTTTTTTTTAAACTTCAGGTTGCTGTTTCATCTTTGTCGGCCGTTATCAAGTTTTTAGAGTTGCTGTCAGATGAATCTAATTTTGGACAATTTGAACTGACTACTTTTGATCTTAGTCAATATATGGTTCTAGATAATGCAGCTGTTCAAGCCCTCAACCTTTTTCAGGTAAGAAATGCACACTTGAATGGGTAAGTGTTTTGCAATATACTTATTTAGCTGCTTGGTAGGTAGCCTGACTGCCCAGTCACAGCTCCCCAGATCCCGGTTAATGGCAACTTCTACATTTTTAGCTTTGTTTTCAGCTACTCCTGTACAGTGTATGTTTAAACACTGTTAGCCACTGTTACCACCTTTTTTGGTTTTGTATTTTGTTAGTTTACTTTGAATGTAGAAGAGAAGATTGCCAAGGAGGTAGAAAGTGGCTACAAACAAGTGTCTGTGTAGAATGCAGACATGGGAAGAGCTGTAGAAGTACCTCATGGTTGTAGCTGCTGAGCAGGCTGGCTGAGCAGTGGTGAGAATGCTTTGTCTTTCCTTGGTTATAGTCAGAGAAGTTCACGTCTCCTGTGGCAGGAGCAGACTTGGGGTGTGAGGGGGGAGGAGAGTTCTGGAGTTTTGTGGTACGATAGGAACTCCAAAGCACAGTTGCTTTATACAGTAGTTCTGGTTTGGGGAAAGAGAATAGAAGCCTGAATTAGATGGTATTAGGGGAACAGGAAGCATATGGCAGGAGCACTGCTGTTGGCGATGGAAGGGAAGGGCTGGCTGCAGCAGGTAGGGCAATGAACAGGACAGGACATAAGAACATTCTGAAAGCACTGTGGCATGCTAACTGGCCAGTGCAAATTTCACTTTTACACACATTTTCTACAAATCCAAGCAGGTTACCAGTCTCCTCCATACCTCCTACCATGTGTGGCTTTCTGCTTTGCTGGTTTTTACAGTTGTAGGAAAATGTGGAGTCGAAGTGGTGTGTTGTATCAGCTTTTCTCTCTTGTTTTCATGTTAGCAAATGCTGCTTAGCGATCTTTGTTTGGACCTAACGTGCTTGAGTTTCAGATTTATAGGAAGAAATCACAAATATAGTCCCCTGTTTACCTTAGAGGGATTTCAGGAGGAAAAAAACAGCATATATTCAGCATTTGAGCTGGTTAACCCAGGAGAGAAATGTTTGTGGTTTTTTTGGTTGTTTTTGTTGTTTTTTTGCTTTTTTTTATTTCCTGATGCAGTGCCACTGTCTAGGGAAGGAAGCAAAAACTGCATCTCTTCTCAGGCTTTATGGAGTGTTCTCAGAAGTTCAACACTGTCTTAGCTACATCCCTTTATAAGTCCTTGCAGGTGTTATGCTTTTCTTTAGGGGCTGTTGTGGGCTTTGGAACAAGGGGTTTGCCATGTAGCAGGAAGCTGTGTTGTTGCCTGTGTGGCAGGCTGTCTGTGGGAAGGTTTTTGGGCAGGCACTGAAGTAAAGGCAAAATATTTTGTAATTTGAGTTGCTCTGTGAGGTGTGTAGGTAAAGTTCTTATGGTGCAGCAGATGCAGTTGATTATATGAAACTCTAGCCTTCCAACTGAAGTAGGTTATTTTTGTATATGTACTCTGTGATATGCTTTCTTGGATTCAGAAGTTTTTCATGTGCAATACTGTCCAGAACACTGAAAATAGGCACATCCACTTTAGATATTAGATTTTCCAGGGATTAAATGTGTCAGTATACCTTCTTACTGTATTCATTTCCTGTTGTGGCGATGCTAGTTCTACATCCCAGTTGTTTACCGGCATCCAGACCTGCTCCTGGTTGAATGCTTGCCTGCTGTTTTAGTTGCAGGTGTTCTTGGGTAGAGAGGGTTGAGATTTTCATGTCAAAGTTAAGAGTTGAAACAAGCTTGTTGGCTGTTTTTCAATGTTAAACAAAATTTTTTCTTCCTGGTTGTCTGTGCAAAACCCAAACAAAACCCCAGGAAAAACGCCCAAAAGGTTGTCTTGAGTCTAGTTAATATTAAACCTTAATTATAGAAAGTAAACTGTAATCTGAACAGAGTAAGTTTAAAGATGTTTATAGTACTCCGAAGGTGATCTGGGGAAGCTTGAGAGAATTTGGATAACTGTGTTCTTTCCCATTGTCTCATTCTGTTGTGTCCCTGCCCCCCTCCTCCCTATCCCTCCCAGCAGCCCCCAAAGATCTCCAGCCAAAACCCTTTAACCCAAGTCCTGTTTCTTTCTGCCTTTTTTTTTTTTTTTTTTTTGGTGGACAGGACCCCTATTTTTTGACCTTATGAAGGGCAAACTAGAAAATATCTAGGTATATTTCCAGTCTTCCTATTCAAAGGGCAAACTGCCCAGTGACTAGGTACATTTCTAACTTCCCTGTTCAGTCAGGATTAGTTTCAAAATAGACAAACCTATTTCTTGCTTGCCATGTTCCAGGGACTAGAGTGTAAGTGCTTTAATGCCATGCTGTTTCATTTGCCCTTTTTGATGGGTGCCAAGTTGAATACAGAAAAAAACACTGATCTGTTCCTAGGTAGCAAAGTTGAGTGCCATTCAGTGGGTGGCAATAAACTTCGTTAACTTTATTTTTTTTTCTTCCTTTCCAGAGTTCTGTGGAAAATGCTAATACTGCACAGTCTCTAGCTGGTTTACTAAATAAATGCAGAACCCCTCAAGGACAAAGACTAGTTAATCAGTGGATCAAACAACCACTTATGGACAAGAATAGAATTGAAGAAAGGTAACAGTATTATGTGTTTGATAGACTTAGACTTATACAAGTTAGTAACTATTTTACAGAAGGCTCTTTCTTTTTAAGCACAAAATACTACAACCAAGAAATAATGGTGGTTGGAGGTTTTTGTGTGCTATCCTGTAACACATTGTAGTTAAACAGAGCAGAAGATATTTTTCCCGGAGATGCACATTGACAGGCTACTGTTAGATTAAATGCTTTTTACAATTATGACATTTTAAAGAGGAGGTGTGATATGTTTAGGTGGTCAAATGATTCATGCTACAGGCTAAGGCAGTGTAGCAGCCACTTCCTAACTAATATTCATACTGTAAATGCTCAGTTCGTGTAATAATATTTTGATGTCATGTCCGGTTTACCAATTTAAAAAAACACAAACAACAAAACACCCAAAAGATTAAGCAGTAGTGACCTTTTCCTACTTCCAGAAAGAAACTACCTTTGGCAGCAGTGGGTCACTCTTATCATATCTTGTGTAGATATTGTGGCCCAAATATGAGTGGTCTTTCTCTTCCTTGCTCTTTCATACTGCTGCCTGCCACCATGTGGCTGCCCTACTGGTAGTAGTATCAGTCGATATGAAGCCTTAGAGAATCTGGCAAATCTTTGCTGAGAATGTACAGATAATTCTCAGTCCTTCAGAAGGGAAAACTGCAAAGGCCATATTCCTACTGTGTGTGTTTATCTCTTGATCATGTTCACCATGCAAACAAAAGTTACACTTTTTTTAAACTCATGCTAAATATAGCTATATTCTTACAATCTAAAACCAAACTTCATGCAACTCAAGTGATCAGCAGGTTAAAGCATTGCAAAAATCTATGTTAATGTGTGTCTTGACAAAGCAGAGGAGGCCAGAAAACTGAATTTAACTTTGATATCTTCTCTAAGGCTTATATTTCAGATAAGACATTACAGATATGTCTGTATATGCTGTTGGGCTTTAGCACAGATCACTACTACCAAAAAAGAAATTTTGGCTTAGGCATGCTGATACTTAAAGAAGTTATGCAAAGAGTAGTTTTCTCGCTAGATTTCTGGACACTGACTTATTCTGCTTCTCTACAACAAATTTTTCTACTTTTTCTAATCATTTGGAGAGTGTTGCGTAGTAACTTGATCAGACCCCACTTAGAAATGTTATTAATGTTGACATTGAAATATTTGTCCCCAGGTTTATTGAATGCCGTGTCTTACTCTTGTGTGTGTTACAAGAGCTTTCATTATTAGTTCTTGATTATGTGCCTAGGATCTTCTATTTCTGTCAGTTTTGGATCCTAAGATCTGAGCTAACTTTAATTTTACGGTTACGTTGGTTTTAAGATTTTGAAAGTTATTACTCACATTTGTAGTTTTCTTACGTCAGCGTAAACACTGGAAATTTTAACTTCTGTATCAGACTTCTTTACTCATTACTGTGCATCAGAAGTCCTGCAAGTTTGTGAGAGAGATGGTGTTTTCTTTATAAAACTGGGGTTAAATTATAGGCAGAATAAGTAACTTGAGCTGTTTTGTGGAGTTATGATCATCTCTGCATTTTGTGTTGTGATTCTGTATGGCTAATGTTGACTGCATTTAGGAAAAGCTATATTTAAAGGAGGAGAGTTATGGAATTAAGAGAATGGAATTAAGCTCTTAGTGAAGCTTGTAAAGGTTGGTGTATCCAAGTGTTAGGAGGTTGAAAGAGGTCCGTTGATAACCTCCTGTATCTTGCCTGGCCACAGAATCATCTGGGCTGCAATTTGTTAAAAGTAGGTTGTTTTAATCTGTACTTATGGACACTGACATACTATAGTCATACTTTTTTAGTTTATTCTGCAGCATAGGTAAGCCTGTCTGAATGCGTATTGCTTTCAGGTACTACTTTGATGAATTTAATTGTTTGGGATAAAAGCAGTGCATTTTACTTGTGCCATCCTCCCAATCTTAATGCTTTTCAAAGTGTGTAGGACTGTTCTTTTTTTAATCTGAAGGAACAAGCATAATAAGAGAAGCTGTTAGTGGGACTGATGAGATGTATTGACAGATTCAAACATGTTTTGAAAGATATGCAGTCACCAAGTTGTTTTCTATATGCTTTACAGTATATTGTGGCTGTTTTAAGAATTACAAACTATAATTTAGAACATATAGGTGGTTTGAGAAGGAGATATCTGGACTGCTGTTCCTTTATGTTTCCTTTGTTGTCAAGGGAAGTTACTGATTATTTCTTAGCTAGAAGTGTGCCATGTTAAAGGACCCCCTTTAACACTAACCAATGCAAAACTCTTAGCAAACTAGACTGAACTACCCAAGTTGGATTGATGTTAGGTGACAGTGTTTTGAAGTAAGCCTGTTGTTTTGCTTATACAGGAGGTATTTTGACTTAACTTTTATTCCAGTAGTGTAGAATTGGATGGCTGAAAGTTTTATTTTAAAGTTAGACTCTTGTAACCCTCTGCTAAGACCTGTAGGTGGTGCAAGTCATCTTTTGGAGCTAAATGGATCAACTTCTTTCAGTAGTTTGTAACCTGCAATGTGTGTGTGTGTTCACATTTATGGGTAAATAGAACACAATGTTACATCACTAGTCCCTATTAACCATCGATACAGTAGCAACACAAATTAAGGTACATAGTGCACATGCTTCAGATAAAATACTGTTTGTCTGCTGGAACAGCTCTTAATGAGAGCTAAGAAAACAGGGGTTCCTGATACTTGCCTGTCTTGAAAGACTTGGGGTTCTGCCCATGTCTGGCTGGTTTTCCATGATTAAAAAAATAATTATCAGTCATAAGTATACAAGATACAGCCCTGCTTCTCCCTTGTGGTGTGTTCCGAAGGCAAGTACGTGAGGTTCTTGCTCATTGCCTTATAGTCAGCATATTTCTGAAATTAAAATGTACTTGCAGAGACAGGAAGTGCAAATACGTATATTAATTGCGTAACACGATTGACTGTAATATAGCAAGCAACTTCAGTATGTACTGTTTATTCTTCAGATACTGGAACGTCTGAGAAATGTGGCACAATGTAAAATAATCCTTGATCTGTTTTGCCCTGTGAAGAGAACTCATGCTGAATATGTTTAATCTTTTTTTTCTATTTTGGGGGGGAAACTATCTGATATTTATACACAGCACAAATATAAGATTCCAGCTCACCATTTTGGTTCTCTATACATACTGTGGCTGAACCTCTTATACATCTATGTCCTGTGATAGAAGAGATGCAGAGGTCTCAGAGGAGTTAAAGGCTGTACTCAAACATCACTTGTTCTGATTCAAGCCTGTTTTGAGCTTTTCTCTTATGTTCCTAAATATCATGCTGCACGGCAGCCACATTGTAGAAACAAGTCCTATCTCTAGCAGAGTCAGAAAGTAATGGATTCAGGAAGCTTGAGGTGAAAAAATGGCTAGCAGGGTAAAATTTTCAAGCTTGTAGAAAATGCTCATGAATCAGTCTTGAATGACAAAGTAGCAGCTTGTTTAAAAATGAAAAAAACCCCAACTTGTTGCTAGCTAGTGTAGGCAGGCTTGAATGCCTTTACAGTGTTTTATTTAGCAATAAGTTAACTCACATACACTTTCTCTAGCAGATAAATGGAGGGACAGACTGGGGTAACGCATATAGGATAGCTTGGAAGCTATGTGACTGAGTGCTCATCTCAGGTGCACACGAATACACAGCGTGGATGAGAAACAGCCAGGTGAAATGAGAAGTCTGTGCATTGCAGGCCTGTGATCTCCCTCGGATTGCAGAAATGTGATCCTGCAAGTGGAGTGCCGTAGTGCGTGCTCTCTACGAACGGCAGGCAGGGAAGATGGAGGGGATGTGTTTCTGCAAAGGTACGGATTGAATGCTCAGGGCTCTGCTGCAGAGGGGGCAGCGGGCCTATCGTGAGCTTGTGGGTCAGGATTAGAGAGGGGATTAGAGCAAGGCGAGTGGCATTAATTACAGTGAGCATCTGCAGCACACCTGCCCCATCAAGATGAGGAAGTGGACTAAGCTGCCTTGAAACAACAAGAAGAAACATGATCATAGGCCGTGGCTCTCTTGGAGGACTTGAGCCACCCTGGCACATGCTGGAGTGAAGCGTGATACTTGCGTTTTTGCACACGCTGGCAGATGAATGGGAGTCAGCATTGTGCCCTTGCAGCGGTGAAGGGTGACTGTGCGCTGGGCTCCACTAGTATGAGCAAGTTGAGGAACGTGGTTGTTCACATCAGCTTGGTAGCTGTGAGGCTGCATCTAGAGTACTGTATCCAGTGTGGGGCTTTGCAGTACAGGTAGATGGACAAACAGGAGTTGGTCCAGTGGAAAGCCATTGAGCAGGATTGTGGGCTGCAGCGTGTGGTGTATGAGGAGAGGCTGAGGGAGCTGGGTTCGTAGCCTGGAGAAGAGAAAGCTAAGGGGCAGACCTCACTGCTGGTTTCAGCTGCCTAGTGGGTGGGAGTCATTGAGAAGGTGAAGCCAGGTGCTTCTCACAAGGGCACAGCAAAAGCAAGAAACAAAACAGGCACCAACCTCGCCAAAGGACCCTCCAGCGGGATATAAAGAAAAAAGTCTTCACTGTGCGGATGGTCAGACTCTGGAATGTATGCTCAGAGAGATGGAGGGATCTGTGTTCTTGTTCAGTGTTCAACTTGTTTTCAGCAAGGGCTGGAACTAGAGGCCTTGAGTTCCCTTCCAATGTAAATTGTTCTGCATTAGGTTTTTGCTGCTTTTGTGTTCTTTTCTAACCTGCAGCTGTCCCTGCAAAGCATTGCAGATAGGCTTTGTTGCCTCTGTCATTTGTGGTTAACAGCTCTGGAAAGACCTTCGGTACTTTTCCGAGGACAGATCAGTACTTCTCCGCAGCAACAGACTGATTTCAGGCAGTTAAATTAGTTAGATGGTGGCCTGCATCCTTAGTGAGGGAGGGGAGAACTTGACCGACTTGGAGGTTTGTCTAAATGGCTTAATTAAAATGCACTTTAAATGCTGGGAGTGCCCCTAATGCCTGT